GATGTAGAGGTCTGTGACATGTGTAAGATGTAGAGGTCTGTGACATGTGTTTGATGTAGAGGTCTGTGACATGTGTTTGATGTAGAGATCTGTTGGTAGAAGATTTGACAGTATATGTTGTGCTACGTATACAGATACAGTCGCAGGTCTGATGCTGTGACCAAACAGTGCAGCTACATTGTAATTATCCGACTCCTTCATGTCAAACCTGCAGCAGTAACAATGGCGGCGCACATTAGGCGGTGAGTAGCGACTACAATATGAGTTCTGACACCAGATTGCACAATAAATGATGTTACCTGTTCTTTTAAGTGTTCTGCTTCCTGAAAACAAGACATTAACATCAGCTATGATGATCGTGACAATGGTGACTTTTTAAGATGTGAAGCCTACTGCACAACAGTGATGTACTGACCTCTTAAGATCTTTAGATTTTACAACTTTACTTTGTTGTAAAGCTGAGAAATAAGATATTATTTATCCAAATCTATTATGATTGAGGGAAATTTGAAAAGGAAGCATTCTACATTTATTTCTATTAATTAACTAAAAAGTGTTCTGCTATTGATCTAGATTGCCTTCCTACTCGTGTTGTGATCAAGGAATTATAACAATTAGTTGAGCTAAGGCATCCCCCTCCACACCTGTGGATTTTCAAGTAAATAATCCTGACACTTGTAATCCAGTTACACTGTATTACCAGTTACACTGTATTACCAGTTATACTGTATCACCAGTTACACTGTATTACCAGTTACACTGAATTACCAGTTACACTGAATTACCAGTTACACTGTATTACCAGTTACTATACATGTATTACCAGTTACACTGACTGTATTACCAGTTACACTGACTGTATTACCAGTTACACTGTATCACCAGTTATATTGTATTACCAGTTACACTGTATTACCAGTTACACTGACTATATTACCAGTTATACTCACTGTATTACCAGTTACACTGACTGTATTACCAGTTACACTGACTGTATTACCAGTTACACTGTATTACCAGTTACACTGTATTACCAGTTATACTGTATTACCAGTTACACTGTATTACCAGTTACACTGTTGTTATGACCTTATATTAACAGAATTAGAAGTTCTCACCTAATTTTACCTAGATTTTCTGTATTTCATACGACTGCTTTTACATTGTTATTACATTATCTGTCCTACTTTTTCCCAATTTCAAATGTAATCATTTTATCATTATTTCATATTTTTTTAAATGAAGATTGTATACTACAACAATGTACTTCATATGAAATGAGTTCCTATCAGAAAGCGTAAGGTAGTCCCATCATTGTCTGTGTAGGCCAATCCAGTGAGGCTGAAACCAAAAGTTAATCAACCGTGAACACATCACACTATACTGGTGATTGTATATATCAAATGTCACACCCCACAGTCTGATTACCATGGCGACAAATGTTTCTACAGGACTAGTTACAAAAAAAACCTCAATTAGAATTTTAATTGATTTTTTGTGATCATATGACTATCATAATGGTTCCGTTCCTTCTGAAAGTCAAAGGTCACTTGGTTGTCAGACTGCTGGGGAGACATGTTAGGTCTGTTTCTGGATGGAACACACAGAAGGTGGTGGTGACTGTTATTGGAGGAAAGGTCAAAGGTCAGAATCAACCTGTACTAACCTTCCCACGGAGGGGGTATGTGTAATGCTGAAAGGTCAAAGGTCATACAGTGACATTACCAAAACTCATACACATAAAGTCCTAGTGAAGGATTCTATCATTTGTTATGCAACTTTCCATTTCTATTTTTTTTTTATCAATTTTGAATTCAAATTGTTTATGTTATAGTGAGAACTCGGTGACGGCGACTGACATGACACAGCGTTGTACAGACACACTAGTGAGGGTCAAGGCTACATACCATGGAGTTGACCCGAGCATGCAACTCTGACTCTAAGTCAGCCAGAAGGCCCTGCAACTGTACATACAACATAGGATTTATAGGCCCTTTTTCTGTACACTGGATCAAATTACTGATCAGTGTCCTAGTGCTATCATTTGACAACAGCTCTGTAGGCCTTTAACCTGCACACAACCATAAAACTTAAACGGACTGTTCCTGTTGGAATTGAATGAGTATATTCAAATTAGTAACCTACCAAGATGAAGTAAACATTTGTACAATGGTGTGACTCTTGTCCTGAGTAGACATCACATACACATATCTTTGTATGTTAACTTAGCATTATTACACTGGAAGTTGTTAAATATTTTCTTAAAACAAAAACAAATGGAAAGTTGAATTTACTTTTCTGACATATTGAACCAAGTTCTAAATATTAAATTTAGTTTTAGTGATCCAGGTCCAGGTACTTCACTGATTACATCAGTTATATATAGGCAGTGTGTCTACAAATGTTGATAAGAAGCCCTGAAACTTAACACAACAATTCTTCCTGTTTAAAATCCTTAACTTAATCCTAGCAATGAAACATTGACTCTGAAGTTGGATGAGATGCGTAATGGGACTAGTTAAAATACCATGCAGTCACAATATATTCTTAAAACTGTCTCTGAAGTCTGGCTTTGACAGGGTAGTCTGAAAATGTTAGTACTTATTCCATAAGAGTATTTCCTTCAATCCAGTAGAATTTAGAACTTGTATATCTTATCACTCAGTTTTTCCAATAACTTGCCTTTCACAAGTATATTTTCCCACCCATTTGTCCTAAGATCTTGCTCTACACCATAACTTCCCACCCATTTGTTCTAAGATCTTGCTCTACACCATAACTTCCCACACATTTGTTCTAAGATCTTGCTCTATACCATAACTTCCCACCCATTTGTTCTAAGATCTTGGTCTACACCATAACTTCCCACCCATTTGTCCTAAGATCTTGCTCTACACCGTAACTTCCCACCCATTTGTTCTAAGATCTTGCTCTACACCATATCTTCCCACCCATTTGTTCTAAGATCTTGCTCTACACCATAACTTCCCACCCATTTGTCCTAAGATCTTGCTCTACACAATAACTTCCCACCCATTTGTCCTAAGATCTTGCTCTACACCATAACTTCCCATCCATTTGTCCTAAGATCTTGCTCTACACCATAATGTCCTACCTAGTTGTTCTAGGAACTTGAATTGCGTTAAACAAGTATAACTTCGAACCAAGTTGTTCTATTAGAACTTGCTCTTCACTATAATTTCCAACCCAGTTATTTGAAGAACTTGCCCTTCACAAGTGTAACTCCCCACCTATTTGTTGTAAGATCTTGCTCTACCCTATAATTTCCCATCCTGTTGTTCTAAGAATTCACTCTACATTCTAATTTGCGTTCCAGTTGTTCTAAGAACTTGCTATACTCAAATGTACTAGGATGTTGGAAATAAGTACAAGTTTTATGTATGGGAGACTGCTGTTTATAGACATAGGATGTGAAAGTAAATACTAGTTCTAACTAAGGGAGAATGTTGTTTATACATTTTACAATCATGTATATTTAGTTGTTCTCGTGTACAATCTTACCTGAACTGAAAAAGCGGAGTGACTTTTCAACTTTGACCTCGTTACAGCTAATTGGTTCATCAAGACTGGTGCCTTTTTGTCAGTTCCTTCAACACCTTCTTTCTTTCTGGTTGGTTGATCTTTATTTAAGGATAGATCACTACCTGACCTACGACCTTTATCATCAGACCCAGATAAGGATGACCTTCGCTTTAACCAACCAAGCGTGAAGGAGTTTGACCTGTGTAATGAACTGCTGTTTTTTTCACTTCCTTCATCACTTGAGATACTAGATCGCCGCGAGTCTTTTGTCCGAGAGGAATCTTTTGACTTGCTGAGAAGGAAGTCTCGATAGGACTTAAGAGTGGCCTTGAGTGAGGCCAGTGTGTCGCTAGTGTCACTTCCTGAACTGTCAGACCACACATTGTCATGATTCTCCTTGTTAGCCTTCACATCAAATGAGCGAGTCCTCTGTAGACGTCGTGAATTTTGATCTTGTGACATGCCAGGGGAGCTAACTCCTGGTCCATTATTATGACTAGACGTTGATGTTCCATGAATATTCGTATCTCTTCTCTTATGTCGTGTTTGAAATGAGTTACTCCTCCCGAACTTCCTGGCAACTGCATCAACAGAATTAATAGCATCTTGTACAACATTAGCAGTGTCTGCAGAGGCACTGCGTGACAGTTTGAGTGAGGAGGTGCGCCGTGTGTTTCTACTGAATCTGCTGGCAGACTCTCCTGGAATTGGCATAGATTGCAGTAACGTGTTCAGTCTTTGTGACACAGATGCTGGTGATTCAAAGTCCTTCAGAGTTTGGGATGCCTCACTGGGTAAGACCAACTCATTTGGAGGATTTCTGTCAGGGGACAATTTGGGAGGTGATGAGGCTGGTAGTTCTGGAGGTACATCCTCTGGTGGGTCAGTGGAGGACTCCGTTCCACCCTCCTCTGATGGAAACTTAATGAGAAATGTGTCTAGGGAACTAGAACGTCTATGTTGCATATTTCTCATTTTAATATCAGTCTCTGTTTGTCCCTCAATGGGGGGAACTATTGCAATCTGTTGGATGGCTGTGGCCGACTCCCCTGGGGGAGGGGGGATGACAAGGTCAGCAAAACTCTCTTCTATTGGCATATTGATATCACTTTGTCCCTCCTCCTCCTCCTGTGTAACTTTCCCTTCCCCAACAGAAGAGGGAGGAGGTGGTACTGTCAAATTAGCGATTAACAAATCAATGTCCTCGTCGAAGAAATCGGGTGTATCTCCCACACTGGCTGACCTCACTAAAGGAGGTGGATGACCTTCAGCTTGACCTACAAAACACAGGACATTCTATCAAAGTAGGGATCTTAGACAGTAACAAAGCATTTGCTGAAATCTTACATTAGCTATTTTTTGAGAAAGAAAACACACACACACAAACTTTAGGAATTTTAACTTTTTCAAAACTTGCTTCGGAATTTAAACACAACCATAGGCTTCCCTTTGCTTAAATTCCAAACCAATTTGAATTTATCTTGAATGTTACCATTTGAGACTGTTCTGATATGTTCAATGTCAGAACCTTGTCAGTTAGATTTCTTACCCACGCTGTGAAGGTGACTCTGTAACATCTCCGGGCTCCAGGTTCCAAAATGGCTCACCGTGTTTCCCATGTTAGGGTCCTCAAGTGGAGGTAACAGTGTTAGATCTACAGTAGATACATAAACAATGTCATCAGGGGCCTCAATTGGGGTAACAGTGTCACTACAGCAGATATATAAACAATGTCATCAGGGGCCTGAATTGGGGGTTACAGTGACAAATCTACAATAGATAGATAAACAATGTTATCAGGGGCCTGAATTGGGGGTAACAGTGACAAATCTACAGTAGATAGATAAACAATGTTATTAGGGGCCTCAATTGGGGGTAACAGTGACAAATCTACAGTTGATAGATAAACAATGGCATCAGGGGCCTCAACTGGGGGTAACAGTGACAAATCTACAGTAGATAGATAAGCAATGTCATCAGGGGCCTCAATTGGGGGTAACAGTGACAAATCTACAGTTGATAGATAAACAATGTCATCAGGGGCCTCAACTGGGGGTAACAGTGACAAATCTACAGTAGATAGATAAACAATGTCATCAGGGGCCTCAATTGGGGGTAACAGTGTCACTACAGTAGATACATAAACAATGTCATCAGGGGCCTCAATTGGGGGCAACAGTGACAAATTTACAGTAGATAGATAAACAATAATATCAGGGGCCTCAATTGGGGGTAACAGTGTAACTACAGAAGATACATAAACAATGTCATCGGGGCCCTCAATTGGGGTAACAGTGTCACCATTGGGGTTAACAGTGACAAATCTACAGTGGATAGATAAACAATGTTATCAGGGTCCTGAATTGGGGTAACAGTGTCACTACCGTAGATACATAAAAAATGTCATCAGGCGCCTCAATTGGGGGTAACAGTGACAAATTTACAGTAGATATATAAACAATGTCATCAGGGGCCTGAATTGGGGTAACAGTGTCACTACAGTAGATACATAAAAAATGTCATCAGGCGCCTCAATTGGTAACAGTGTCAGATCTACAGTAGAAACAAAAACATAAATGTTATATGCTTAAAGATGGAGGGAAGCGTCGTTTCTGATCCGAATTCTATACCTCAGTTAGAATAACTATTTCCCATATACCTACACAAGATACTCTTTTTTCTCCTCTAATCACTTACTTAATTTTGGTAAAATATGTTCCTATGTTCATAATCTGGTGTGTGCTGCCATAGTCATCACGACCTCAAGTTGAGAAAACAGTTAGCACTTCATTTTGAATTTGCCATTTCAAGCTTGTGTTTATATCAGTATAATTATGATTGTAAACTCAAAGCAGTTAATACTAATATTTACCTTTTTTTTTTTAAATATTTCAATATCAGAAAATAAAAGTGATTTATGAAGTTCAGAATTGAGTCAAATTAAGTGTATAATTTCTGTATAATTGTTAAATGAATAGAACCGCCTAGAGATGGTCATTGTTAACAAAAGTTACAGTTATGACATCATAATGATGATATGAACAGTAGGTCTAAGCAACATGTCACCTTGAGTCAGCACTAACAGTGAAGTCATACAAAGTCATTAAAGAAAACTTTACAGCAAGTCCTCCAATAAGTTACATACAATTTGCATCACCGCATTTCAGATCTACATTGTACACGTGCTACAGATTTTTAATGCTATATATAAACCGCTATATGCCAAACCTGTACTAATGTACAGTACTGTATGTCATTAGTTATCCGAAAAATTGAACACACAAGATATGTTGGAAGAAAACAGTCAAAGAAATGCTTCAGAAAGTCTAATACTTAGATTTTTGTCCTACACTAATGTACAGCTGATATTGGTCATGCAGGTGGATGCCTTCGTAAATCCTATGTGTTTACTAATATAAATAACATTGTATATACTTATTACAGATCCTCCATGCAGCTGAGTGATAAACTTTATAATTTATTGTAAATGACATAGAAATAAGTACACGTAGAGAGTACCAAAGATATGGGAACAAAATGCATGTTTAACCTCATGTGACCTTGTGATATGGTTGAACAATTTGTCAAGTTTGCAAAATAATGCTTTAGAGAAATAATTTGTCAAGGGAAACAACTCTTTTCTGTCTGGTCACACAGGAATTATTTTGTATGAGAAGAAAATCTTTCACCAGGGACATAAGTAACACATGAACACCAGGGACACCGCAAATCAATCAAAGGGAGGCAACCAACAGGGAAAACTAAGATCACTCCATATCTCACAACCGTTTTGAAGTTGTGCTGCTAAAAGAAGTAGGTAGAATCTTAAGGGTTACAAACCATGGAAGTTATTCAAAGGGAAGATAAATCATAAATCACCAAGGAAAGTGACAAGGAGATGTGAAAGGATAAATAAAGTCAATCAAAGGGAGATAACCTATGTATGTTATGACAAGTACTTCAAAGGAAGTAGGGTGTAAAAACAATGTATAACATCAAAGACAAGACATTGACTGGGAATGTGTAAATGACAATAATGTCACTCAAAGGGAGGTAACCAGGGTATGTGTTACTACCGAAAGTGTTAAATAATGATAAAATAAAGTTGCCAGGTATTTATCCAATTCTTCAGGTTGGTTCAAAGTAGGAAGAAAATCATTGATGAATGATGAGATAAATAGATCAGATTAGACTTTGGATTTGCAAATAACCAATAAATTTAAGTCATTCAAATGGAGAACCAGGGGCAATAGCCATAACAAATCAGAAATCAGCAGTGTGACCCCTAAACACTGCCAGAAATTCTGGGTCTTAATCACCACCTATCACAATGAGTGTTTGTGATTGGGGCAAACATACTAAATTACAAGGTGTGTCTGTGAACGGTCAAGGACTAACAAAAGATTGGGGCAACTCCACAGTGGCAAAACTTTTTAAAAAGAATCAGTTTTAAGTTGTGATTATTCAAAAATATATAAAGGATATCTCATTTATATAGGATGCATCGCGAAACTTACCAATCATTTCAGATTTACATGAAGCTAAAACAAAACGAGTTTACATGTTATAGTATTCCATTTACTGAGCAATACTTAAAATAGAATTGAAAATTATCATAGCTATTCACTGATATGAAGGTTAGAGTCAAATGTGATCTCTCCTTACCAATGAGATCTGTATCGATGTGAATTTGGCACTGAAATGTAAAGCGAGAATAAATGGTTTGATGTTCTGGTTCCGAGAGAACAAGTGAGGAATAGAGTGTTCTCCCCTAACCTTTTATATCTGGCTCAATTCAAATGAAGCACTGATAAAACAAGTGAGGATCAAGAGTGATCTCCCCTTACCAATAATATCTGGATCAATGTATAGCTGACGCTGAGAGAACATGCGAGGATCAAGAATTCCTTCTTCAATTCCAGGAGGTATCTTATCAGGACTAAGCAACCCAAAGCTGGAGGCAATCGCCTGGAAGTCCGACTCAGACCGAGGTAAAACGTCTGGGCTATGGAGACCAAAACTCTCCCCATCGACTGTAAGGGAAAAGACAGAATCAGCGACTTTGAACCAAGACAGGTATACCAAGATGATATCTATATTGAGATTTTTATGTAACTGAGAGAGCTTATATTATCTCTGCCACATTGTTACTTCACTACCACACTTGTAATATTGCACACTAATCAATATTGCATGCTTTTTCTACCCAATAAAACCGACACATGTTCTGAAATTGTGTCACCCTATTGTGGGTGAAATCAAGGCATTAAATTACATTTTAATGTGGTAGTGTTGATATAATGAACGTTTTACAGCAGACTCCAAAATAGTAAAAATAATTACTGTTAATGTACCTAATTTAGAAGCAATGATATAAAGTCGTAAACAGTATAAATAGTTTTTCATCTGTTGTTATACTGCAACACTCCATTATTGCACTCATCTTTTAACAATTGGTTAATACTCACTAAACATTTTGTGTGCTGAATAAAATAAGCGTGTTTTCAGTTACTCAGGACTTTTATTTTTTCACCAACATTTTTTCAACTTTTGTGTTATATTCCGTCATTATACATGTATATGTGCTGAATATTTTTTATTGAATATGATTAACAATCTCTTGAGGTTGGACTTAAATAAAAATCAGTCCTCAAAGTCAGATAGTATTATTGAATCACTCCACACTACATTTTTTCCACCACAAAAATTGGCTGGGAAATATATGGAGTGTATTGAATTGATGGAGAATTTATATGTATCTATATTACTAGACCAAAACAGACTCACCATCCATATTACTAGACCAAAAACATGATATTGTTGCATCATGAAGCAAGCATTTACTGAATTGGTGATGATATAACCTGCATTCTATTTATAACTGACAGGTCTGAACAAGAGACAAAACTCCTATTATCTTGTCATTTTTCAAAACATTTAAACTGAATTTCCAAATGATTTACTTTTGCAGTTAATATTCAAGGATTTTGGGTTAACAATGAACACAAATTTGCAGATATTTACAAATGAATTTCTTATTCATATTATTATGTGCTTTAGAAGGCATTTGTTAGAGATTGAAAGTGAATTTCAGGGTTAGGGAGTGCAATGTGAATTGTGAACTAAATACAATCCTTCAATCTTCTATTACCCAAACTGTAACATTTCAGTGATACACCCCTCCCTCTACCAAACTACAGCGATGCATCCCCTCCTGTACCCCACTACAGTGATACACCCCCTTCTGTACCCAACTACAGTGATACACCCTCCCTGTACCCCACTACAGCAATGACACCAACCTCCTGTACCTCATTACAGTGATACACCCTCCCTTTACCCCACTACAATGACCATCGCCTCCCTGTACCTACCTACAATGATACACCCCTCTCTGTGCCCAACTACAGTGATGCATCCCTCCCTATACCCCTCTATAATGACACACCCCTCCCTATACCCTTCTACAATGACACACCTCTCCCTATACCCCTCTACAATGACATACTCCTCCCTGTACCTCACTACAATGACACACCCCTCTCTGTACCTCAACAATGACATACTCCTCCCTGTACCTCACTACAATGACACACCCCTCTCTGTACCTCAACAATGACATACTCCTCCCTGTACCTCACTACAATGACACACCCCTCCCTGTACCTCACTACAATGATACACCACTCCCTGTACCTCACTACAATGATACACCCCTCTCTGTGCCCGACTACAGTGATGCATCCCTCCCTGTACCTCACTACAATGACACACCCCTCTCTGTACCTCAACAATGACATACTCCTCCCTGTCCCTCACTACAATGACACACCCCTCTCTGTGCCCGACTACAGGGATGCATCCCTCCCTGTACCTCACTACAATGACACACCCCTCTCTGGACCTCAACAAGGACATACTCCTCCCTGTACCTCACTACAATGAAACACCCCTCTCTGTACCTCAACAATGACATACTCCTCCCTGTCCCTCACTACAATGACACACCCCTCTCTGTACCTCAACAATGCCATACTCCTCCCTGTACCTCACTACAATGACACCCCCCTCTCTGTGCCCGACTACAGTGATGCATCCCTCCCTGTACCTCACTACAATGACACACCCCTCTCTGTGCCCGACTACAGGGATGCATCCCTCCCTGTACCTCACTACAATGACACACCCCTCTCTGTACCTCAACAATGCCATACTCCTCCCTGTACCTCACTACAATGACACACCCCTCTCTGTGCCCGACTACAGTGATGCATCCCTCCCTGTACCTCACTACAATGACACACCACTCCCTGTACCTCACTACAATGATACACCCCTCTCTGTANGCACCCCTCCCTGTACCTCACTACAATGATACACCCCTCTCTGTACCTCACTACAATGATACACTCCTCTCTGTGTCCCACTTCAGTGATGCATCCCTCCCTGTACCTTACTACAATGATACACCCCCTCTCTGTACCTCACTTCAGTGATGCATCCCTCCCTGTACCTTACTACAATGATACACCCCTCTCTGTACCTCACTACAATGACGCACCCCTCCCTGTACCTCACTACAATGATACACCCCCTCTCTGTGCCCCACTACAGTGATGCATCCCTCCCTATACCCCTCTACAATGACGCACCCCTCCCTGTACCTCACTACAATGATACACCCCTCTCTGTACCTCACTACAATGATACACTCCTCTCTGTGTCCCACTTCAGTGATACATCCCTCCCTATACCCCTCTACAATGACGCACCCCTCCCTGTACCTCACTACAATGATACACCACTCCCTGTACCTCACTACAATGATACACCCCTCCCTGTACCTCACTACAATGATACACCCCTCTCTGTGTCCCACTACAGTGATACATCCCTCCCTATACCCCTCTACAATGACGCACCCCTCCCTATACCCCTCTACAATGACGTACCCCTCCCTGTACCTCACTACAATGATACACCCCTCCCTGTACCTCACTACAATGATACACCCCTCCCTGTACCTCACTACAATGATACACCACTCCCTGTACCTCACTACAATGACACACCACTCCCTGTACCTCACTACAATGACACACCACTCCCTGTACCTCACTACAATGACACACCACTCCCTGTACCTCACTACAATGACACACCACTCCCTGTACCTCACTACAATGACACACCACTCCCTGTACCTCACTACAATGACACACCACTCCCTGTACCTCACTACAATGACACACCACTCCCTGTACCTCACTACAATGACACACCACTCCCTGTACCTCACTACAATGACACACCACTCCCTGTACCTCACTACAATGACACACCACTCCCTGTACCTCACTACAATGACACACCACTCCCTGTACCTCACTACAATGACACACCACTCCCTGTACCTCACTACAATGATACACCACTCCCTGTACCTCACTACAGTGATACACTCCTCTCTGTGTCCCACTACAGTGATACATCCCTCCCTATACCTCTCTACAATGACATACCCTTCCCTATACCCCTCTACAAGGACACAGCCCTCCCTGTACCTCAGCAATGACATACCCCTCCCTGTACCCCACTAAATTGATTCACCCTCCACTACAATAATACTACCTTCCTTTACCCCAGTGAAAAGACACACACCTCTCCTAACACAACTTCAGTGATAAATCACTTCTAAAATGATACATCCCTCCTTGTGCCCCATTACAATAATACACTCCTCCTTGTGCCCCATTAAAATGATAGATCCCCCTGTTCTCCACCAATACTATACCCCTGCATGTTTCAAACTTCAATGATAAAACCCTTCTACGTGCAGTGTGGATTAGTACTCACATATAGGAAGTGATTTTGGCTGTGCTCTACCTTTGGCAGGGCTATTTGCAGGTGTGCCCCAGCTGTCTGTGTCACTACATCCTTGGTCCCCCTGCCCCACGGAGCCCCCAGACTCAGGGGTAGGGGGATCCTCCAGGGTTACCTTTCGCTCTGACTCCACCCCACTGTCTGTGTCAGAGAGCTCATCGCCATTGACAACTGTCTTTTGGTCATGGATTTCATCATAAATATCACCATTAAGATACACATGTCCATTCTGTCCAATCTCAGGAATGGATGTCTTAGGTTTCTTTGCGTCGGGGATGTCTCCCCCTTCCTGAGCCCCCTGTCGACGGAGGGCCTTGTTATTGTTTTCAGGAGTCTTGCCTATTATTATGACACTTTTATTAATACATGGCTCTGTTCCATCTTCTAAGTCAGTTCCTTGCTCCTTCACAAGGTCGATAACTGTGTCGTCTTCAATCACCTCCGAACCGTTCTACAAATTATGAATTATAACAATCTATGAGACCTGTCACTTCAAGGAAAATGTTACTGTTATGAATACAAAAAATGTTAAGCTTTTGACAATAACAATTTCAATAACTTTTTAATTTTTGAATTTCTTCCCTCCCAAGTTTTCTATGAGGTTCTGACATAACAGAGATTTTACAGCCCCAGGGTTTTGTAAAACTTCAAAGCTTTTGATTGTTATTCACAAAGCTACCAAATTCTGGGATTCTTAATCTTTCAACAAATCCAAATATATTTTAATATGCCTCATCAAATTTGATCCAGTACCTCATTCAATGACATTGCAACATTTTCCTAAATTGAGAAATGAATTTTCTCCCTCCTTTGCCCAACCCTAGCAATCTTCATTTGAGGGATCTGCCCTACTTCAATAGAGAGGGCCACCCCTACCTTGAAGGAACCTGATTTACCATACCTTAATGCCGAGTTCAATTTTGATGCGGTCAATGTTCTGTGCATCATCATAAGGAGGTGGTCCCTGACAGAGGTCAATAACGCGTTCATTCTCTGTGATTTGCGCCGTAAGAGTCTGTGACACAATGTCCTCGGGATAGCTCCAGGGAGTCGTCATTACCTTGTGTTTACTGGTGTAGGGGGGCACTGTAATACAACCAGTGTTAAGTAGGGTGTCATTGAGTCAAGTAAAGATGATGGCAATTTCAGACTTAACCACATCTTCGACTAATATGCTTGATCTAAAAGCTTGTTTTCTGTCAGTGAAATAGTAATACAAATGAAAAACAAAAAGTTCACAAGAATTACGTGTAATTATAAGTCTCGTCTGTCCCCGCTTAAGATTCAATGTGTCAAGCATTGTAAGTTTGAGCCGAAGTTCAGAATTTTATATTTTATAAACAAATTTGGCAATACATCAACATGAAGGTATAAAAGGAACAAGTGCTAATTGTAATGGGAGCCGGCCATTACATATATCCCCCAAACTACCCCAGCATTCGGAAAAACAAATGTAAATAGGTGAAAGGAAGACATGTACATACCAAATTTGAGCAAAATCAAAATACATTTGAATTTCGACCAATCATGCAGAAGCCAGTTTACGACAACCAACTTGCAAGATCAGAAAACAGATGTCCCTGTTGAGTTCACAGTGCGAAAATACACTTACAAACCGATTTTTAGCAAAATCGAACGATAAAATTGAACAATAACTGAAATTCGACCAACCATTTTTTGACAAAATACACCTACATTAAAATTTGAGCGAAATTGAACAATATCTGAATTTCAACCAATCAGAAGCCAATAAACGGCAACCATCTTGTCAAATCAGAAAACGGACGCCGCAGTTGAGTTTGCAATGCTAAAATACACTTAAATACTAATTTTTAGCAAAAGAGAACAGTATCTGAATTTCAACCAATCAGAACCCAATATACAGCAGCCAATTTTTGGTCAAATCAGAAACAGATGTTGAGTTTGCAGTGCCAAAATACATGTATTTTTCAAATTTGATTGTAATCGAACAATAACTGAATTTTGACCAATCAGAAGCCATTATAAGGTGGCCATTTAGTCAAATCAGAAAACGGATGTTGCAGCTGAATTAGCAGTGACAAAATACACCTACATATAAAATTTGAGCGAAATCGAACAATACTGAATTTCGTCCAATCAGAAGCAAGTATACTGCGGCCATGTGTTTGTTGTCTGATTACGTTAAAACATTGACGTTGTAACCCTTAAGATGGTTATGATCATCCCAACTTACAGTCAAAGTTTAATTAGTGTCACACTTAAAATGTTTGAGATACAGCATATAACACACAGCAAGATGCTGTGAAAGTCACTTGACCGCGAAATGTAAACCATATTCATTATATCATGCATGGTTTATAATCCATGGATTATGAATATAAGACACATGTATGGTCCAAGTTTGGTTGATCTAGCACTTATACTTTCTGAGAAACAAAGCTTAACACAAAAACTTAACATTGAAGAAGATGCTGTCAAAGTCACTGGACCGTGAAATATAGGCCACATTCAGCATATGATGCATGATTTGAAATGCACTGTCTCAAATAACTACAGTGAAAGTTTAGTTAGTCTAACACTTTAAATGTTTAAAATAAAGCATAAAACACACAGCTAAACGCAAAAACTGAACATTGATGAAGATGCTGTCAAAGTCACTGGACCACGTAATGTAGGGCATGTTCAGCAACTGATGCATGGATTAAGGGGAGGTATATCAAATGCATGTATGGTCCAAGTTACGTTGGTCTAGCACTTATACCTTTTGAGAAACAGAGCTAAATGCAAAAACTTAATGTTGACGTCGCTGCCGGAAAAGTAATATTTTTTTTTGCATTCTAATAAATCTATAGGTTTTTGTCTCGCCTGCATAAAAACCTATAGATTTATTAGAATGCAATTTTTTTTTAAAAAATCTTGCTATCTTCACAACTTTACTCAACTACCCCATCTGACCAATATAGTCACCCCTATCAGAACATAAGCATACAACCCTACACTGACCATCAGGGTCGCCCCCAACAGAACATTAGCGCAAAACCCCGCACTGACCATCAGGGTCGTCCGTAACAGAACATTAGAGTATAACCCCCCCACTGACCATCAGGGTCGTCCGTAACAAAACATTAGAGTATAACCCCCCACTGACCATCAGGGTCGTCTGTAACAGAACTTTAGAGTATAACCCCCCACTGACCATCAGGGTCGTCCGTAACAGAACTTTAGAGTATAACCCCCCCACTGACCATCAGGGTCGTCTGTAACAGAACATTAGAGTATAACCCCCCACTGACCATCAGGGTCGTCTGTAACAGAACATTAGATTATAACCCCCCACTGACCATCAGGGTTGTCCGTAACAGAACATTAGAGTATAACCCCCCACTGACCATCAGGGTCGTTTGTAACAGAACTTTAGGGTATAACCCCCCACTGACCATCAGGGTCGTCCGTAACAGAACATTAGAGTATAACCCCCCCACTGACCATCAGGGTCGTCCGTAACAGAACATAAGAGTATAACCCCCCACTGACCATCAGGGTCGCCGGTCTGTTTACTGGCAGGTTTCTCCACCAGACAGGCACCTGCATCAACAAAGATACGGTAGTATCCCTCCACGATTCCAACAAAGTTCTGCACATCATCCTTCAGAAGGCCCAGGTTTAACATCTGGTAGAGAGACAGTGAAAGCATGTTAAATTTATGGAGACTGAAATGAGTGAAGACGGAGGTATAAGATAACCTTTCATTCCAAGGATTTATTTTCACACTATTTTTTCAGCTATGACTAGTGAAAACAGAACCCCTGTAATATCTTTAACTGACAATATCTTATAATCTTATAACTCTTTAACCCAAACCTACTATAGACTCTGTCACTGACAGTGACCTTCTGATTTACCACAACCTTTGACAGCAACCTCTAACTTTACTTAAACTTTGGAAAAGACTTACCCCAGCATCCTTGCCCTTGACAGTGACCTCTACCCTCTGCATGTTGTTATCCTTCTCCTTGGAAACTTTGATCTTCTCTATCATACTGAAGTCAGCCAGCATGGAGAGCTGTGAACGATATCAGCAGACAGTGTTCACAATTGTGAGCAAGGAATGTCATGCAAATCTGTTTAATACAAGGCAAAGTATTGCAAGGCAATCCATAGTCCTTCATCGGTAATGATTTCTATATTTAACAAACAGTACATTAATGTCAGGAAGCATAAGTCACAGTGAGGTCATAATGACCTACTTCGTGCACTCCCCCATCCCAAGATGTCCCCGGACAAACTTTTTCAAAAGTAAAGGTCAAAGGTTAAGTCACAGGTATCAGTGGCCTAATTCTTACAATCTGTGCTCCACTATCCCAAGATGTCCTTGTACACCAGATCTGGATACTCCAGGTGAAAAAGTATAAAAGATATGCCCTGGACTAATTTTTCAAAAGTACAGGTCAAAGGGCAAAGCATAGGTCAAAGTGAGGTCATAGCGACCTTCTTCTTGCACTTAGCACTCTGCCATCCCAATATGTCCTTGTAAACCAAATCTGGTTACTTCAGGTGAAATAGTATAGAAAATATGACGGACTGAGTGCAGACCTATCCCAACCCCCGGGCACTGGTGGGGAACTAAAAAGACAACTTGATCTAACAAAGGAAATAACTCACAGAACAATGGACAATAAATGTGCAGACCGGTACAAACTGCTCAATACAAGTCATAAATGATACACTTGAATTAATACTTTTCAGCAGTTCAGAAGTCTGAGACTTGATGTCTGGCCAGTAATCCGTGTTGTACCTTGACATTTGTGTAAAGCAACGGTCAGGGCAAGCAAAGTGGTCCATGCCTTGGTTTCTATCCTGAAGAAGCAGACTAATGTTTGGTATGTGACCGGCTGTTTGATACATACCATATCCATGTTAAACTGTTCACAAGTGAGAATCTGGACATGTTATAAGGTCATTTACTCTTTGACCGCAATTAACTACAATCCGGAATGTACCTCAATTTGCAACTGGCAAATTAAAGAGGTCTACAAAGAGGTGAATACTGTTGGGAGTCAACAGGGGAGATAACTCACGGTGTAGTGTTTGATGTTGGTGATGAGGCTAATCCCTGACTTTGGCCCAACTAGTATCATTGCCTCCATCTTCTGGTCCTGTAAAAACACAATGAGTATCAGTCATCAATTAATTCTTGACCCCATCTATTATCTTATGAGAAAAGTAGCATCCAAATATTTGTTATTTATTTTTCTTGTATTACAAAATAAGGAAAAGTATTGCAAGCAACCCATGGTTTCCTACTTCCAGGTTAACTTAAGTATAAAAGTGAACAGTCGGTGATGATTCAGTAAAAAGATGAGTCTAAGTCACGAATCAGAATCAAACACTTCAACATCCCAAGACGTACACACATACAAATATCTCCTTTCACAAACAAATCACAAAAGTTCACAAGGTACATGCAGACCAATAAGGATTTTACTTTCTTGAATTTGTTGACAGTTTTCTTGATGATAAATGATATGGATGATATGATATATTATCTTTTTAGCCTTACCAACAGAGTGACCATGAAGACACGGCTACCAAAGGTTTTTAATTCGCTGACAATCTTGACATAATGCAGCTTGGCCTGAAGGGCTGACAGCTGTTTCTGACCTGGCGGCGTCAGATTCTGGTTAATTTTGAGCTGTTGACTGAGCAGTTTACGCAGATCCTTGCATTTCATACTCTCTAACTGTGTGGAAGGCACAAACTTCTCCAGCCCGCATTCCTTCCTGTAAGGGGAGACAACCATATTTAATATCATTAGTTTTAAAAACCACTTATATTTATCTAATATTATTCAACATTAGTATATTCAAATTGTGACTATTCAATCAGGATAGCAGCTTTTAGAACCACTGGTCCACTTAGTGATGCCACCAGTCTCTGGCTAGTGGACCACTTAAACTTTATTGTAAGCCAAACCTATTCAATTATCTAAAGGGAGACAGACAGCCACAGTGTTATATCTAGCCGACACTCCTTCCTGTGATGAGATAATCATACTAAATGGTTATTAATGTGTTTTAATCAACCATACTTCTTCCTGTAAAGGGACACAACTAAACTGCTGTACTGTAGTCCTATAAGGGGAATCAATCCTACTGTTGTAAACTTGTCTAGATCTACACTCCTTCCTGTAAGGGGAATCAATCCTACTGTTGTAAACTAGTCTAGATCTACACTCCTTCCTGTAAGGGGAATCAATCCTACTGTTGTAAACTAGTCTAGATCTACACTCCTTCCTGTAAGGGGAATCAATCCTAGTGTTGTAAACTAGTCTAGATCTACACTCCTTCCTGTAAGTGAAATCAATCCTAGTGTTGTAAACTTGTCTAGATCTACACTCCTTCCTATAAGGGGAATCAATCCTACTGTTGTCGCAGTTATACACTCCTTGTTTGATGTGTAGACATGCAACTTTATACACAGCCCATGCTTCTTCCTTTAAGGGGAGACAACCACATTCTCATAAATTTCATACCTTCCCGAGTTGGAAAAAAACACACTACTGTCATAATCCTAAACTCTTTCCTGTAAGGGTTAACAACAAGATATATCCAGCCACACTTCTTCCTTGCAGGGGAGACAACCACACTTATATCATGCACACACTTTTTCAACCCAGAAGGGCTTATATCCCCCAAGAGTCCTTCTTGTAAGAGTTGACAACAACAGTTATATCCAGCCACAATTCTTCTGTCAGGGGAGACATCCCCATTTACATCTAACTCACACTTTTTCAACCCAGAACGACTTATATCCCCCAATAGTCCTTCCTGCAAGGGGAGACAACCATACTTTCATACCCAGCTCAAATAATATCCTGAAAGGCGAGGACTTACTCGATTGCCTTTATGTTAATTTTGCCAGTTGTGTTGTTGTGCATAGCATGTTGTTGTATTTGGAGTGCAGAAAGCTTCAGCACTGTCTCTCCCTTCAGCTCTGGAAACTTTTCTTGTACCACATCATTACAGCACTGAAATATAGCAATAACAACAAATCTTATTATAACCTGCTTCTCACAAAAATTATCATGATCTTTCTCTGTTGTACCTTTAGTATGATAACAACTGAACACCAGTCTGGTAACACTGAACACCAGTCTGGTAACAATGAACACCAGTCTGGTAACACTGAACACCAGTCTGGTAACACTGTACATGAGTCTGGTAACACCTGAACACCAGTCTGGTAACACTGAACACCAATCTGGTAACACTGTACACGAGTCTGGTAACACTGTACATGAGTCTGGTAACACCTGAACACCAGTCTGGTAACACTGAACGCCAGTCTGGTAACCCTGTACATGAGTCTGGTAACACTGTACATGAGTCCGGTAACACTGAACACCAGTCTGGTAACATTGAACACCAGTCAGGTAACACTGAACACCAGTCTGGTAACAATTGAACACCAGCCTGGTAACACTGAACATGAGTCTGGTAACACTGTACATGAGTCTTGTAACACTGAACACCAGTCTGGTAACAATGAACACCAATCTCGTAACACTGTACACCAGTCTGGTAACACTGAACACCAGTATGGTAACACTGTACATGAGTCTGGTAACACTGTACATGAGTCCGGTAACACTGAACACCAGTCTGGTAACGCTGAACACCAATCTCGTAACACTGTACACCAGTCTGGTAACACTGAACACCAGTATGGGAAGAGTGGAGACCAATCTCGGAACACTGTACACGAGTCTGGTAACACTGTACATGAGTCTTGTAACACTGAACACCAGTCTGGTAACAATGAACCCCAGTCTGGTAACACTGAACACCAGTCTGGTAACACTGAACACCAATCTCGTAACACTGTACACGAGTCTGGTAACACTGTACATGAGTCTGGTAACACTGTACACCAGTCTGGTAACACTGTACATGAGTCTGGTAACACTGAACGCCAGTCTGGTAACACTGTACATGAGTCTGGTAACACTGAACACCAATCTCGTAACACTGTACACGAGTCTGGTACACGAGTCTGGTAACACTGTACATCAGTCTGGTAACACTGAACACCAGTCTGGTAACGACTGAACACCAGTCTGGTAACACTGTACATGAGTCTGGTAACACTGTACGCCAGTTTGGTAACACTGTACGCCAGTCTGGTAACAACTGAACACCAGTCTGGTAACACTGAACGCCAGTCTGGTAACACTGTACACCAGTCTGGTAACACTGAACACCAGTCTGGTAACACTGAACACCAGTCTGGTAACACTGTACACCAGTCTGGCAACACTCAACACCAGGCTGGTAATACTGTACACGAGTCTGGTAACACTGTACACCAGTCTGGTAACACTGAACACCAGTCTTGTAACAATTGAACACCAGTCTGGTAACACTGAACGCCAGTCTAGTAACACAAGTTTGACAAGTTACTCTATACTGGAAACTTTCTCCCAGTCAAACTTTTGGCTCTACGCCAATGAAATCTATTTTTGCCCAAGTTAATTTTGCCTTCCACATTTGATTATGATGTTTACAATATCGCCTGCTATTGTTTGCTGTAATGATACACCCTCAGGGTGAAGGGCAAAAAAAAGGCGAAAATGAAACAGTGGTTAAAATTTCCCGGTATACAGTATTTCTCCAATAGCAATAATTTGGTAACATGTTTCTTCTTTAATTAAAGTTAGCCTCAGAAGTTGTAACACTGTGCATGCTACTGACACTTACCTGCATATAGAAGTACTCAAACGCCATTGGCTCCTCATTGAGAAGATCAAAGGCATCGCGGGGCATAAACATCACACGAAACAGACAACGGAAGTGACGAGCCCCTGGTCTGGCAGCAATCTGTCAGAAAAAATATTTCCAAATACAATCACTTATAGCAGGTTTAAAACAGTGGTGACCTTGATACAGTCTTCATAAAGGCCTAAGAAAATAACAAGAGATTAGGTCTTTTCCCCAAATCGGATATAAATGTCATTTAGTTTCTGTAGCAACACTTACCGATATCAAAGAAAAGTAAGGATCAGTGGTGCAAAATAATGATATAAAGTCTCTATTTATAAAATATCATTGTAATACCACCCCGCTAAAGCCACATTTATTTATCTTTTATCAGCAGTCCATGAATAAAATGTCCATAGCTCACACTCATCGTTACTGATACATGATGACTGGTGCTTGTCTGTCTGAAACCCTCACACTCTGTAACGTATTTAGGAAATAATATTTGTGAGTTGATTGGATTACAGCCAGCAAAAAGTAACCGAAAGGGCTAAGCAAATTAGATTTGGGCTCCATCACCAATCACAGATTGATCCACGAGTGATTTGATGTTGGCAGAATAAAAGCTTATTCGCAAGTCATGTCAGATCAAGGTCCACATAAGGGTATCATACAATAATAAGATATGGATATATTCATGGCTACAGATGTACAGTTGGTAGGGGTATGGTTAGAGATGTACAGAAGTAAGGGGCTAGTTGAGATATCTACAGTAGTAAGGAGGTTGGGTGCGATATCTACAGTAGTAAGGGGGTAAGGTGAGATATCTACAGTAGTAAGGGGGTTGTGTGCGATATCTACAGTAGTAAGGGGGTTGGGTGCGATATCTACAGTAGTAAGGAGGTTGGGTGCGATATCTACAGTAGTAAGGGGGTAAGGTGAGATATCTATAGTAAGGGGATAAGGTGAGATATCTACAGTAGTAAGGGGATAAGGTGATATATCTATAGTAGTAAGGGGTTAAGGTGAGATATCTACAGTAGTAAGGGGTTGGGTGAGATATCTACAGTAGTAAGGGGCTAAGTGAGATATCTACAGTAGTATGGGGAGGGTAGGATATCTACAGTAGTAAGGAGTTGGGCAATATATCTACAATATTAAGGGGTTGTGTGAGATATCTACAGTAGTAAGGGGATAAGGTGAGATATCTACAGTAATTAGGGGGTTGGGTGAGATATCTACAGTAGTAAGGGGATAAGGTGATATATCTATAGTAGTAAGGGGTTAAGGTGAGATATCTTCAGTAGTAAGGGGTTGGGTGAGATATCTACAGTAGTAAGGGGCTAAGTGAGATATCTACAGTAGTATGGGGAGGGTAGGATATCTACAGTAGTAAGGAGTTGGGCAATATATCTACAATATTAAGGGGTTGTGTGAGATATCTACAGTAGTAAGGGGATAAGGTGAGATATCTACAGTAATTAGGGGGTTGGGTGAGATATCTACAGTAGTAAGGGGATAAGGTGATATATCTATAGTAGTAAGGGGTTAAGGTGAGATATCTTCAGTAGTAAGGGGTTGGGTGAGATATCTACAGTAGTAAGGGGCTAAGTGAGATATCTACAGTAGTATGGGGAGGGTAGGATATCTACAGTAGTAAGGAGTTGGGCAATATATCTACAATATTAAGGGGTTGTGTGAGATATCTACAGTAGTAAGGGGATAAGGTGAGATATCTACAGTAATTAGGGGGTTGGGTGAGATATCTACAGTAGTAAGGGGATAAGGTGATATATCTATAGTAGTAAGGGGTTAAGGTGAGATATCTTCAGTAGTAAGGGGTTGGGTGAGATATCTACAGTAGTAAGGGGCTAAGTGAGATATCTACAGTAGTATGGGGAGGGTAGGATATCTACAGTAGTAAGGAGTTGGGCAATATATCTACAATATTAAGGGGTTGTGTGAGATATCTACAGTAGTAATGGAGTTGTGTGCAATATCTACAGTAGTAAGAGGTAAGGCTAGATATCTACAGTAGTAAGGGGTTAAGGTGATATATCTACAGTAGTAAGGAGTTGGGTGAGTTATATACATTGGTAAGGGGGTAAGGTGAGATATCTACAGTGGTAAAGGGGTAAGGTGAGATATTTACAGTAGTAAGGGGGTTGGGTGAGATATCCCTTTACTACTGTAGATATCTCACCCAACCCCCTTACCATTGTAGATATCTCACATTACCCCCTTACTCCTGTATATAACTCACCCAACCCCTTACTACTGTAGATATCTCACCTTAACCCCTTACTACTGTAGATATCTAGCCTTACTCCTTACTACTGTAGATATCGCACACAACACAAGTAGTAAGGGGGTGAGATGTATACAGTAGTAAGGGGCTAGGTGAGATATCTACAGTAGTAAGAGGCTAGGTGAGATATCCACAGTAGTAAGGGGGCTAGGTGAGATATCTACAGTTGTAAGGGGCTCGATGAGATATCTACAGTAGTAAGGGGGCTAGGTGAGATATCTACAGTAGTAAGGGGCTAGGTGAGATATCTACAGCAATAAGGGGTTGGGTGAGATATCTACAGCAGTAAGGGGGTTGGGTGAGATATCTACAGTAGTATGGAGCTAGGCGAGATATCTACAGTAGTAAGGGGGTTGGATGAGATATCTACAGTAGTAAGGGGGTTGGATGAGATATCTACAGTAGTAAGGGGGCTAGGTGAGATATCTACAGTAGTAAGGGGCTAGGTGAGATATCTACAGCAATAAGGGGTTGGGTGAGATATCTACAGCAGTAAGGGGGTTGGGTGAGATATCTACAGTAGTATGGAGCTAGGCGAGATATCTACAGTAGTAAGGGGGTTGGATGAGATATCTACAGTAGTAAGGGGGTTGGGTGAGATATCTACAGTAGTATGGAGCTAGGTGAGATATCTACAGTAGTAAGGGGCTATGTCAGATATCTACAGCAGTAAGGAGCTAAGTGAGATATCTACAGTAGTTAGGGGCTAGGTGAGATATCTACAGTAGTTAGGGGCTAGGTGAGATATCTACAGTAGTAAGGGGCTAGGCGAGATATCTACAGTAGTTAGGCGTTAGACAGATATACAAAAGTTTGGGTACAAGGATTTCCTACATTGCCAATAAACTAATCTCGCCTGTGATTGATCAGCTCTCATACATCTTGCTGGCTCTGTTCTTTGATTAATATGAACACCAATACAAAGTGTCAAAGGTTTCAGTCCTACTTCACAGTCAAACAAATTCATGTATAGGGTCTCATATCTCCTCGTAATTAATAAGAGCTGTGTTTAACCTACACCGGTCCCTGTATTAATAAAACAGATAATATAGGAAAATACTGTATGGGAGATGTATACCATATACAAGGTGAATAAAGATAAGTTTGTGTCGAGCGTAAGGTATTGTCGATGACATCAGACAGGAATTGGTGATAACTCAAAGTTAAACTTTATCAAACAAGCAAGAAATATCACCAAAAGGTAATCCTTATCAAAAGCAGGTAATATCACCAGGGGTTAACCATCATGACTAGCAGGAAACTCACCTTTGGAAATGAAAGTATTACTTGTGATCCGTAACCTAGTTTTGACAATCTATGTGCCTGTAGAATGATTAAGCACCACCTCTGACCTTACAGTAAATGTTTTGACCTATTTCTAATAGCATTTCAAAAGCCTTTAAACCGATGATGCCTGATGACCTTACACGAATGCGTGACCTTTGACCTACCTCTGCAAGTGTCTCGTGGTCCTGAAGAAGGGTTAGTCGGCCAGGTATATGACTTTTCATGTTTTGCAGGACCAAGTTGAAATATTTGACACTCTTGATACCAAGCTTCTCCTGCAGCGAATTGGCCACATCCTGGAAGCAAAATATTAAAACTTTCTGCCTCAGAATCAAAATTCACCTCAATATTAGTTCACTTCTATCCTGTGATTTTTTGTTAAACTGGGACAATTATTGAGCTCAATAGAATTTTTAAATATGAATATAGCAAAAACGTAGAAAACCTAACAATTTTTGTGTATTGATTAAATCCCTCTAAAGCTGAAGAATTCCTTATATCAAGTAATGTTTGTATTAATTTGTTAAGGAATGTTTTTTAAGTGATCAGTATTTACTCCAGTGAGTTCTATTTCTACAATGATCTTGTCTTTTAATCCAGCAAACGACTGTGCTATTGTGTATAACCCATCTCCTCATACAAAACACAAGTCATCATACCTTTACAGTTGTTTTGTTGTCATATTTGAACGATTTTGTCTGACCATTTTCCAAGAACACTTTGAGGACATTAGGCATGAAAGGCACGTAGCTCTCATCAGGGGAGGGCTGCAAGATAAATCACAACACATATAGACAGGGCAACTCAAGCTCAAATTAAAGCCATCTTATCAAGATGTTACTTATATATTTATTGTACTTCACAATGTTACTAGATTTGAGCTCCTTCCATGAGTTCTCCAGCTTGGGAACTAATTTCCTAACTCCCTAATTCCTTATATTCACATCTGTATAATTCTGCATGTTTCTGTAACCTCTTTTTCCCTGATCCAGCTCAAAAGGTCCTTACCCATCTGATGGCTGGTTAACCAAGTTCCCACTGTCTATACCTTAAACACAGGCTATTTCAATGTAAATATAATTTAATTCCCACTTCTGAAGCTGAGATAATCTTAGAGTCTATGCCATGACCCTACTGTATATATGTAAAACACAGGCTATTTCAATGTTCATATAATTTAGTTCCCTCTTCTGAAGCTGAAATAATCTCAGAGTCTATGCCATGACTCCACAATACATTTCATTCCACCACTTTTTTCAAAACTAATTTGATAAAAAAGTAAGACCCCTTTAAAAAACATATTACTGTGAAAACACTTCAGGTTTTGATCAATTGAGATTACTGCAAGAAATGAAAAGAAATGATTATTTAAAGCCACACTACAGGACCGAAATATCTTTCTTCCTGTTGTAGGTTAAACCAGGTTACGGGGAAGATGTGAAATCTACCACGACAGGAGAGCTTCCAGTGTTACTGGAATTTCCGACTTAGTTGGTCGGAGAAAGAGTTTCTTAATGAGAAAATTTCCACAGGTGTCAAAACAATTCTCACTTACACTCTGCATCCCATTCACCAGGGTAACAGTGACAGACTCAGCAAATCGCACACGAGACGGGTTGTTTTTCAGTTTGGCCTTTTTGGCTGCGGTGAGTAGAGCGGACTTCCTTGTAGACTGTGGAGTAATCAAACGACAATGTCAATCAGCGCCCCTATGTCTTACAACACACACGTACACCCTACTTTAGTGACCAATCCCTCGCTACCTACAGCGACATACGACAATGTCAATCAGCGCCCCTATGTCTTACAACATACACGTACACCCTACTTTAGTGACCCATCCCTCGCTACCTACAGCGACATACTCCTTACAAGGACACACTCCATATACTGACAATTCCTGACATGATACTTTATAAAATACTGCTATAGCTATGAGTAAAACTAATGGACAAGATTTCAACAAGTAACTTTTGTTGACTGATATTAAAACAGAAAATCACATCTAACAGGTGCAATAATCTGTTCAATTACAAAACACTTTGATTATCAAATTTGATCTTCAAACCAAGAAATAAATCACCATTTACTGACTTAACATGATTTACTCTAGGTATACTGTGAAATCAGACATTTATGCTGGGACCAAATTTTGCGGTTTCCTGAAAAATTAATGAAACTAAAAAAAACACGAAAATGAGTGATTTCACAGTGATCAACAATGGTTTGTTGTATCCTTGAACAGTGATCAACAATGGTTTGTTGTATCCTTGAACAGTGATCAACAATGGTATCCTTGAACGGTGTGACCAGCTGTTTAAAGGAGCAATATCACAGAAACAGAAGATGCTTTGGCCACAAGGCACAGAAACAATTGACTTATTATGTAGTAAACTATCAGACATAATAAAATAAACACATAGAATGTTCAGTTTATAGTAACGACTATGGTCATTGTTATCAAAGACAGTTGTAAATCCTCATATAATTATCACTGATTGGCAAGAGATATGTTTCACACATGATAAAAAGTTAATATGATAAAGTAAAGATTAACAAAGATTTTTGTATGGCTAAACTCTGAAGAAATGTAAAAAAAAAAGGAGGAGAAAAATAATGTAGCATACATAGCCAAAAATAATTAATAGATTTACAATTAATAAAGCCAAAATGTAAAAATTGATGTCTATAAATGTATTATTTCTATAATATCAGGTAAAAAAAGCAAAGATAAGGACGATGATGACATGAGGCAAGGAATAATGCTCCAAAAGGATTATGATGTGGAGTGTATCTTGATCACGATATTAATTTAAAATCAAATTTCCAGTGATAAAAACCTTGTCATTACCTGTAAAAAACTCTGTAGTAGTAACTTTGTCAGGAAGTAAGAAACAAAAGCATATTCAAAGCATACATTTACTATTCAAGTTTTGTAAAATGACAACAGACGTATCGTTGACGGCTGTGCAATAATAAAGACATCTAATATCTTTGAACAATAGGCTCAAGTGCCTTCAGTTATTCATGCAGCAATTCTGGAATTGAACCTTTGTTTTTGGTAGAAATCTGACGAGTAGTTTCTGAGGGTAGAAATCTGACGAGTAGTTTCTGAGGGTAGAAATCTGACGAGTAGTTTCTGAGGGTAGAAATCTGACCAGTAGTTTCTGAGGGTAGCCCTTTGGACTGTTATTAGCCAATTGACTTTTTCATAGAACTTCTGATACTCATTGTCTAGATCAGGGATCTGTGCAAGAGTACATAGTAATAAGGAGGGATAGAATGAAGTAAGGCAGATCAAGGGCAAAGGGTTGATGTAGGGATAGATGTCTGTATATTTACTTTAAATTGTATGGGAAGTGAGACTTGTGTGCATACACAAAGGTCATAGGTTCAGATCGCATCATTTTGTTGTAGGTAGGAAAGTGATGGACAAAAGAGCTAACCAACAACACAGGACGTCTAGCACTTCATGTAACAATTAGCGTAATACCTATAAAACATGCAAATATTTAAAAAGGCATATAGGGTCCTAATACTCTGTCATCCCAACTACCCACAACCGGAGTACATGTAACTGGTCTATCTAAAACCCACTAAGACTACTTCAGCCTTGTGAAAGTAAAAGTTCTTAACCTTAAAGAAATCAAACTAATTTAGATCAGTAATTTATCCCTGGCCAGTCAAAATAGGTACATATACCAATAACATTAGTGAACATAAAAATAGATAGTAAACTGGAGGCCGGACCAGCACCACATAGAAATTATACCGCCAACAAAAGTAAATAAGCATATATCAATTTAACCTATTTCCCAGTTAAACATTCTCATTTAGTCAAGACATATTATCAGCTTAAAAAAATTGCCCCACAACCAACTTTTATCCCAAACTTGATAAGTTTGAAAGAAACAATATAAATTAAATGAAATCAAAGTTTAAAATCGAAAATCAATGTTTAGAAGGAAAGACTTGAAATAATCCATAAATCCCTAAATCTAGCTAAGAAAAGAAAAAAAGAAAACTTCTGTCTACAAAGGGTGTGGGAACGGTAACCGTGACTACGTAGGAGTGTGAAACCTGACAACAGAGGTGTGTGGAATAGTACAGGGTACAGACTCCACAACACTGGAAACAAACTCACAAATGACCAGTAATAAAATCAGTGTCAACAAAATGTTTTTACAAACCTGATCATCCCCCTGTTTTTTCAGGAAAGAAAACAAATACAAATAATTCTATAATATTAGGAAGTTCATTGAACAGATCAATACAACGTCATACTAATGTAACCTTAACTTTCTAAACAAGAAGCTAGTACAGTGTGTATCGCTCACCTGTCTTTGTTCTGACAATCGGAGACCATGGTCTATGTAGCCATTTTAGATCTCTTGTTGAATGATATCTAACTAACTATTATAACCATAACATTTGTCAGTAGGAGAAAAATTAAACCAATTTTGGTTAACATCAACTTGGTAAAACTGATAAATAAAACTACTTGTTTAATTTATAGGCCATGAAACCATCATTGCCAAATGGCCTTTTTTATGTCAAACCTCTTCAGCTGTTCTTATCTGTTAAGTTTTCTAGGAAAACGATGATGATGGGTGATGCACAACAGAAGATGACAGATGTTGCACCATGTCATAAGCTCATTTGACCCTACAGGATAGGTTAACTAATAATTATTTCATAACACTCATCTACAGAAAATGAATGTCAATAAATGATGCCATTTACTGACATTGAACACTCAATATAACAGTAAACAAAAGTCTACTTACATTGTCAGAGTATGGCTGACATACAGTCAAAGTCATTGTTTCCCGACATGATCTGTAAATTAAGGACACATACAGTCAAAATGCATCATATCAGTAAAAAATGTATCATATCAGTCAAAATGTATCATATCAAACCATATATATGGCTACATTTACATGTACAAAGCAGCTCTGTGACTTCATACTGAACAATAAGTTACAACTGTTTGCATAAGATAGCTTCAAACTTAAACAATTTGTTATGCAAGCTACCATTTGTTACTACCTCGAGTAAGTTACCATTTGTTACTACCTCGAGTAAGATACTGTTTGTTACTACCTAAAGTAAGTTACCGTTTGTTACTACCTCAAGTAAGTTACCATTTGTTACTACCTCGAGTAAGTTACCATTTGTTACTACCTCGAGTAAGTAACCATTTGTAACTACCTCGAGTAAGATACCATTTGTAACTACCTCGAGTAAGATACCGTTTGTTACTACCTCAAGTAAGTTACCATTTGTTACTACCTCGAGTAAGATACCAATTGTAACTACCTCGAGTAAGATACTGTTTGTTACTACCTAAAGTAAGTTACCGTTTGTTACTACCTCAAGTAAGTTACCATTTGTTACTACCTCGAGTAAGTAACCATTTGTAACTACCTCGAGTAAGATACCATTTGTAACTACCTCGAGTAAGATACCGTTTGTTACTACCTCATGTAAGTTACCATATGTAACTACCTCAAGTAAGTTACCATTTGTTACTACCTCGAGTAAGATACCGTTTGTTACTACCTCGAGTAAGTTACCATCTGTAACTACCTCGAGTAAAATACCGTTTGTTACTACCTCAAGAAAGTTACCATTTGTTACTCCCTCGAGTAAGTTACCATTTGTTCCTACCTCGAGTAAGATACCATTTGTAACTACCTCGCGTAAGATACCGTTTGTTACTACCTCACGTAAGTTACCATTTGTTGCTACCTCGAGTAAGTTACCATTCGTAACTACCTCGAGTAAGATACCGTTTGTTACTACCTCGAGTAAGTTACCATATGTAACTACCTCAAGTAAGTTACCATTTGTTACTACCTCAAGTAAGATACCGTTTGTTACTACCTCAAGTAAGTTACCATTTGTTACTACCTCAAGCAAGTTACCATTTGTTACAACCTTAAGTGGCCGTTTGTTACTACCTCGAGTAAGTTACCATTTGTAACTACCTCGAGTAAGATACCGTTTGTTACTACCTCGAGTAAGTTACCATATGTAACTACCTCAAGTAAGTTACCATTTGTTACTACCTCAAGTAAGATACCGTTTGTTACTACCTCAAGTAAGTTACCATTTGTTACTCCCTTAAGTAAGTTATCGTTTGTTACTACCTCAAGTAAGTTACCATTTGTGACTACCTCGAGTAAGATACCATTTGTGACTACCTCGAGTAAGATACCGTTTGTTACGATATGAAGTAAGTTAACGTTTGTATCTACCTTGACAAAGTTACTGTTTGTTACTACCTCCAGTAAGTTACCATTTGTTACTACCTCGAGTAAGATACCGTTTGTTACTACCTCGAGTAAGATACCGTTTGTAACTATCTGAAGTAAGTTACCATTTGTTACTACCTCAAGTAAGTTACCATTTGTTACAACCTCAAGTGGCCGTTTGTTACTACCTCGAGTAAGTTACTGTGTTACTAACTCAAGTAAGTTACTATGTTACTAACTCAAGTAAGTTACCGTTTGTTACTAACTCAAGTAAGTTACTGTTTTTTACAACCTCAAGTAAGTTATTGTGTTACTAACTCAAGTAAGTTATTGTTTGTTACTAACTCAAGTAAGTTACTGTTTTTTACTACCTCAAGTAAGTTACTATGTTACTAACTCAAGTAAGTTACTGCTTGTTACTACCTCGAGTAAGTTACTGTTTTTTACTACCTCAAATAAGTTACTGTGTTACTAACTCAAGTAAGTTACTGTGTTACTAACTCAAGTAAGTTACTGTTTTTAACTAACATAAAGTTTGCTCACCTGACCAGATCGATGACATATTGTCGTGGTGCCTTCTTCACATCCTCGCCATTAATTTTGATGATCTGATCACCTGGCAACAGTTTGTCCACACTTGGACCGCCTGTAATATAACAAACATGTGACTGATTTAGTTGTTGAACTTGACATTAAACACTTATGCATTATTGCTCAACATATGTTTGGGGTCTGAAGCATTGCAGGTAGTAGTAGTATATTAATCAAAACACACAGAAGATGAAGGTCAACCAAGAAGCTAAGAGCCAATAAGATGAGAGAATCCAACAGCCAATAATAAGAGACGTTCATGATCAAACTGTTTATTTTCATAAGGGAGGGAGGCATGACAGATATTCATCTTATAATCAAGTACGCTTAGTTGGCCTAAATGTGACCTTGAATTTTCATTTTTAGAATTTATAATATGAAATAAAACAGATGAACCATGAAAAAAGGGCATTAGGGGCTTGAAACACAGATGTTCTCACCATCCTCATAAAGCCAACCTTGACTGATGACCACCAAAATCTCGTAAACTATATAAATTGATGAAAACCTAACATTATATAAATATTATGAAACCGAGGGGTATTCAATCCTGCCACAATTAGATATCTTGTACCCATGCTTTCTACTAGCTAGATGCATTAGACACAAGCACCGAGAAAGCAATTACTATAAACTCATCTACTTTCAGTCGAGGGTATAATTATCTCCCGCAAATTGGGGACTATCTTGATCATCGGTGCTAATTGGTATAGTACAAATTTGTCTTAAAAAGTATCAACCAATTAAATCAGTTAGATGTATGCAGTGAGGGTCCGTCTCAAAATGTGTAATCATAAAGTATACTGTACGGGACTGTCTCAAAATGTGTAATCAAAATCAATGGTTATATTACATGTAGTATAAACAAGAACCATGACCTTTGACCTAAAGGTAAAAAAAAAATTTGGGTTAATATAACAACTTTCCTCAAGACATCTTCCAATGATATGAAATTTAGCCTGGACAAATTTTCACCGGAATGTTTCTATTAATCTGACCTTTTACCTAAGGTGAAGGTCACAATAACCTAATATGGCACACTACACACCTTCTGGGGGTGACACAGATACAGTTCAAGTTACATTATTTAACTGAATGGTTTAAGCATTATGGCCAGACAAGAACTAGTACTAATACAATAATGATTGACAAAAGCCACAGTGTAACAGATTTAAGTGTAACACAAGTGTAATGCAACTTTACTTATTGTTGTGACAAACTTAATCTAGAAAGTTTGTGATTGATAATAATGATTAGGGTAGACACAGTACCAGACAAAGGGCGCTATATCATCTGGACCCAGACCATAAATCCTCCTATCATATCCTAAACCAACCTATATGGCTAACTGTCGCCAGTCCATCAATACTGGTCTCATAATATGACCTGGATATGACAATGACAAGCACAGCAAATAGGAAACCATTACATGGTCGACAACTTGGACGGATTTACGAGTCTGCTCCTTCCTGATTGGTCAAACAGTGGCTATGTCTGTAATTAAGGATAGACCAATCTCTGGCTGATTGCTACTGAGAAATTACAATCATGATGTATTTTACTGCCTAATCTGTGTGGCCATTTTGGGTCTGACATCAAAGTTACAGACCTAATTGTTTACCAGCCTGCTGAAAGATCTATATATGCATATATAGCTTTGTCGACACAGACTTGCAATATAGTTTTCCACTCCAAGCAAATAGGGAGAAAAAGACATTAATTGTGAAGAGTGATTTTATAGTGGAAAGGCTCAAATTTTAGAACCTAAACTCACTGAGAATATAACACTCCTTCAATTTTTTTGTTTTTGAACCGAACATAATTATAGTCTGTATACCTTTAATCTCTACCAGTTATGTAGGGACGGCTAAAATAACTACCACTTATATTTAGTACAGAGATTGACTTTTCCCACTTAAACCATACCAGGAACATTGTGGTGAAGGGTGGGGGTGCTGCCTAAACCCTCTAGTTACCAATGGCTGTGCTGTTACACCCAAACCCACCTGTATAACCACATAGGCATAGCTCAATCAAACTGTTCTAGGGAAGCTATCACAAGCTGAAGTAGTAGGTCATATTTACTGAAAACTCGACTTGCTGATGTTATCTGCACTCCAAGTGTTAAGTATGAGCATGGCCACCACTAAACATCTCTGTGACCAAAACATGCCTTTTGAAGTGCATTCTATACTGGTAACCATAGCAATTGTTCTCGTAACTTGGTTAACCACTGAGTGTAATGTAATAATTGTACAACTGACCTGTACCAAACTAGATATTGAAGTCTGGTCCGTAGCTATGGAGACCGGTTAGTTGGTATTCATATTGTTCTTTATTTGCCACAGTTGTATCTACCTAATTGTATTGCTCGAGAGCAGTGCTCTATGGTGTTGAACATAATGAGTTTTAGAATTACAAATGGTGACTTGGACAAGAACTAAAACAATTTACTCAACTAGATAGCTTTAGCACTATTTTCACTTAAACAAATTCTGCAATTACCAACTGGCTTAGTGATTGATTGTTTGATCACGACAGAGCTTTAATAAGCTTTCAGAAAGAAAAAAAACTGTAATGAAAATATGTATCAAGACCATTTAGAGGACTTCAAATCAAATACTTAATATGTAGTAATATGTATATCGTAAAGGTCAATATCAAATATCCTTAAGGTCAAAATGGAATATCTTCGCTGACAACATGTAATATTCTAGAGGTCAATGTAGAATATCCTAGAGGTCAATGTAGAATATTCTTGTGGTCAAAGAGGACTGTACTAGCTGAGGTCATTGTTAAATATTTCAAAGGTCATGTATTAGTATCCTAAAAAGACCAAAGCAGAATATATCCTAGTTGAATATGAATTACTTCAGAAATAAATCTGAAGGTCAATTATGCAAAATGCTGTGTTTAATGACAGTCTAAGAACACTGATCATTGTTTTTAATTTTAGGAACACAGTTTCCTGACAAATGTAAATGCTGTTACAGTGGCTTACCTTCAGTCACAAAGCGTACAACAACAGGTTTCTCGCTCCCCGCCACAAAGCCAAATCCTTTCTGTGAGTCACGTGACAGTTCAATCTCTCGAGGTTTGGGTGGTTCTACATAGTCAGGGTCATCTCGGGGGTCATCGCGTGTTGTGTACTTGTCTACATGGCTGGAAAGACAAAACGTAGCAGGAATGAATACACTACTGATTAGAAGATCTGTACTTATTATCATAACTGATTACATGAAAGGAATGAGTGTATTGAGAATGACTATGATCAAAGCGACAGAATGAGTGCAAAACTGGAGTGACAGAACTAATTACGGATGAGTAGTTCAAATCTAATAAAATAGTTCATTAATTTTTGTAGTGTGTGAAGCACACAAACAAACACAGCATGCAATTGCAAGAGGATCAATAACTGTGGTCAATGCTCACAAACTCATTTATAAAGATCTCATTTTAGACAACACAAAAACAAATTGTTTATCAAAGATTTCAAACAGACAAGTATTTTGGATGACATATGGCAATTAGAATTCATGGATCATATATTGTAAACCTTAAAAAAAGGCATAAAATGAAAAAGACCGTTTATGTGATGGAGATCTTTAATCCCATCATCACCAAACCTTCATCCCTTTTGCCATAATGTATATGAAAATATGGCCTGTAGTCAAGGATACTGTATATGTCAATATAGCCTATAGTCAAGGATACTATATATGTCAAAAAAGCCTATAGTCAAGGATACTATATATGTCAATATAGCCTATAGTCAAGGATACTATATATGTCAAAATTCCCTGTATTCAAGAATACTGTATATGTCAATGTAGTCTGTAGTTAAGGATACTATATATGTCAAAATTCTCTGTAATCAAGGATACTGTATATGTCAATATAGCCTATAGTCAAGGATACTATATATGTCAAAATTCCCTGTAATCAAGGATACTGCATATGTCAATAGTCTGTAGTTAAGGATACTATATATGTCAATAGTCTGTAGTCAAGGATACTATATATGTCAATATAGCCTGTAGTCAATGATACTGTATATGTCAAATATAGTCTGTAGTTAAGGATACTATATATGTCAACATAGACTGTAGTCAATGATACTGTATATGTCAATATAGCCTGTAGTCAAGGATACTGTATATGTCAATATAGCCTGTAGTCAAGGATACTGTATATGTCAATATAGCCTGTAGTTAAGGATACTGTATATGTCAAATATAGCCTGTAGTTAAGGATACTACATATGTCAATATAGTCTGTAGTCAATGATACTATATATGTCAATATAGCCTGTAGTCAAGGATACTGTATATGTCAATAGTCTGTAGTCCATGATACTGTATATGTCAAAAGTCTGTAGTCCATGATACTATATATGTCAATAGTCTGTAGTCCATGATACTGTATATGTCAATAGTCTGTAGTCCATGATACTGTATATGTCAATAGTCTGTAGTCCATGATACTGTATATGTCAATAGTCTGTAGTCCATGATACTGTATATGTCAATAGTCTGTAGTCCATGATACTGTATATGTCAATAGTCTGTAGTCCATGATACTGTATATGTCAATAGTCTGTAGTCCATGATACTGTATATGTCAATAGTCTGTAGTCCATGATACTGTATATGTCAATAGTCTGTAGTCCATGATACTGTATATGTCAATAGTCTGTAGTCCATGATACTGTATATGTCAATAGTCTGTAGTCCATGATACTGTATATGTCAATAGTCTGTAGTCCATGATACTGTATATGTCAATAGTCTGTAGTCCATGATACTGTATATGTCAATAGTCTGTAGTCCATGATACTGTATATGTCAATAGTCTGTAGTCCATGATACTGTATATGTCAATAGTCTGTAGTCCATGATACTGTATATGTCAATAGTCTGTAGTCCATGATACTGTATATGTCAATAGTCTGTAGTCCATGATACTGTATATGTCAATAGTCTGTAGTCCATGATACTGTATATGTCAATAGTCTGTAGTCCATGATACTGTATATGTCAATAGTCTGTAGTCCATGATACTGTATATGTCAATAGTCTGTAGTCCATGATACTGTATATGTCAATAGTCTGTAGTCCATGATACTGTATATGTCAATAGTCTGTAGTCCATGATACTGTATATGTCAATAGTCTGTAGTCCATGATACTGTATATGTCAATAGTCTGTAGTCCATGATACTGTATATGTCAATAGTCTGTAGTCCATGATACTGTATATGTCAATAGTCTGTAGTCCATGATACTGTATATGTCAATAGTCTGTAGTCCATGATACTGTATATGTCAATAGTCTGTAGTCCATGATACTGTATATGTCAATAGTCTGTAGTCCATGATACTGTATATGTCAATAGTCTGTAGTCCATGATACTGTATATGTCAATAGTCTGTAGTCCATGATACTGTATATGTCAATAGTCTGTAGTCCATGATACTGTATATGTCAATAGTCTGTAGTCCATGATACTGTATATGTCAATAGTCTGTAGTCCATGATACTGTATATGTCAATAGTCTGTAGTCCATGATACTGTATATGTCAATAGTCTGTAGTCCATGATACTGTATATGTCAATAGTCTGTAGTCCATGATACTGTATATGTCAATAGTCTGTAGTCCATGATACTGTATATGTCAATAGTCTGTAGTCCATGATACTATATATGTCAATAGTCTGTAGTCCATGATGAATGCTGCCTGCATGTTGTAGATGTATGTGAATGTTATACATGCACGTCAATACATGTTCTAGTTTCCTGTTTCTACATGAATCTCCATGATAACAGAAAAAACATATAATGGATATATATCTATTAGATCGAGAATGATATATTACATTTTTCCTGATTGATCAATAAAATTCCAGTCTATTTTATGTCCTATATTTAAATCTAACATATATATCATATAACAGAAATTCAGATCCAAGATTCAATCTAATAAAAATCCCTTCAGAACTGATACAAATTTCCCCTGTATATTTGATTAATGTTTCACTGTGTAAGAACAGTATGTTTCTATTGCTTCTCTTTTATTTCAGGACAATCAATATTGTGTTTTTCTTTTATATCTCACATCTCACAAAAACATTCAAACAGAGAAACACAAAAACAAATTGGAAATTTCCTGAAATAAGAAACTGAAAATTATCAAAATGCATCCTTCTGCACTGTGATTGACTCAATGGGAAATTTGAAGATAAAATCTGATATTCTACATATCTATAATTCATATAATCGATGTACTTTTGTGTGAATATTTCTCACTAATTTCCTCAACATTAACCTGAACAGGCGGCAACACCATTGTCGGAACCAAAATTACAATTTCAGAATGTGTTTCGAAAACAAGACCATTTCAGCAAACATGTCCCCTGTAACAATAGATATCTTATAAGATGATCCTAACCAACACTCACTGATAAGGGAACGCCTATAAACACAATCAACATAGGTCCTGGAGGAGAAAGAGGCCGGTCTGACAGTCTGACTAGATGATGCTGGAGACAACATGGACTTACATAACAGTGGGTAGAGATGTAATCTGTGTTTAAAGGCATGTGTAATACTTTGATCTCAACGTGATAGGAAAGTCTGTTACCTCAGGGAGACAAGTCATCACCATAACCTATCAGAACATGATGCATACAAACAGTCACCGGCAACTCTGAAGAAGAAAGTCTGACTGGGTCTATTCTTAACCAACCTCACAAGTAAAGATGTTTAGTATGACTATTAATTAAGATAAATCTCGGTGGTAACACTGAATCATGTAAGTCTCTGTACCAGGTCACCCTGACCAGTGGTAACACTGAATCATGTAAGTCTCTGAACCAGGTCACCCCTGACCTGTGGTAACCCTGAATCATGTAAGTCTTGTACCAGGACGCCCCTGACCGGTGGTAACACTGAATCATGGAAGTCTCTGTACCAGGTCACCCCTGACCGGTGGTAATACTGAATCATGTAAGTCTCTGAACCAGGTCACCCCGGCCCTGACCAGTGGTAACGCTGAATCATGGAAGTCTCTGTACCAGGACACACCTGACCAGTGGTAATACTGAATCATGTAAGTCTCTGTACCAAAGTCTCTGTACCAGGTCACCCTGACCAGTGGTAACACTGATTCATGTAAGTCTCTGTACCAGGTCAACCTGACCTGTGGTAACACTGAATCATGTATGACTATTAATTAAGATAAATCTCGGTGGAAACACTGAATCATGTAAGTCTCTGTATCAGGTCACCCCTGACCGGTGGTAATACTGAATCATGTAAGTCTCTGTACCAAGGTCACCCCTGACCGGTGGTAACCCTGAATCATGTAAGTCTTGTACCAGGACGCCCCTGACCGGTGGTAACACTGAATCATGGAAGTCTCTGTACCAGGACACACCTGACCAGTGGTAATACTGAATCATGTAAGTCTCTGTACCAAGGTCACCCCTGACCGGTGGTAACCCTGAATCATGTAAGTCTCTGTACCAAGGTCACCCCTGACCGGTGGTAACCCTGAATCATGTAAGTCTTGTACCAGGACGCCCCTGACCGGTGGTAACACTGAATCATGGAAGTCTCTGTTCCAGGTCACCCTGACCTGTGATAACACTGAATCATGTAAGTCTCTGTAACAGGTCACCCTGACCAGTGGTAACACAGAATCATGTAAGTCTCTGTACCAGGTAACCCCTGACCTGTGGTAGCACTGAATCATGTAAGTCTCTGTACATGTAAGTCTCTGTACCAGGTCCCCCCTGACCTGTGGTAACCCTGAATCATGTAAGTCTCTGTACCAAAGTCTCTGTACCAGGTCACCCTGACCAGTGGTAACACTGAATCACGTAACTCTCTGTACCAGGTCACCCTGAACTGTGGTAACACTGAATCATGTAAGTCTCTGTAACAGGTCACCCTGACCAGTGGTAACACTGATTCATGTAAGTCTCTGTACCAGGTCAACCTGACCTGTGGTAACACTGAATCATGTAAGTCTCTGTTCCAGGTCACCCCTGACCTGTGGTAGCACGGAATCATGTAAGTCTCTGTACCAGGGCACCCTGACCTGTGGTAACACTGAATCATGTAACTCTCTGTACCAGGACACACCTGACCAGTGGTAAC